CTCTTTGTAAATATGAGATCTGCGGTTAATATGTCACCTTAGCGTCAAGAGTCTATGCGAACGAAGTGCAGGTACAGGATAAAGGCAGGTGGAAGAGAAAAGATACTTTATCGCGAAAAGGTAAATATATTGATATCCAGGACAAAAATCTCTCCTGAAAATCGGTGATGTAAAAAATATCATTATTAAAATCGATATATTTAATACGGTGAAGATATGAAGGGATTATACGAGACAAATCAAGCATCTACGATTATAGGGACGTTTTAAGAAACGTTAAACATCGTCAAGAACTTAAAGGAAGCAAGGCATTTTCACTCAAGATCATTTTTGTCACCGTCTCAACCATCCTGATATGGAGCTCTTTACTTAAGGATTATCTGGAGCTCGACCACTTGTTAGCGAAAGGTCGACTGAAATTTGCAGCGCTGATATAAAATAGAAGTATATATTATGTGATCTCGAACCCCCTAATTATAATACATACCTAACTTTTTAAAAGGAAAACAAAAGAGCACGGTAAGAATTTGTCTTCAAAAGTTTGCAATGAATATTAGACAATTTGTAAATAAATATATTTGAGGGAATTGGAGATGTGTTGAAATGGTTGCACTTCTAACAACTATCTCGATTTTGGGTTGCAGAAATTTTAAGGATAACACGTTCCCTGAGCATTTGGCTAAGTCGAGCTTAATAGTTATAACAGCGGTGGCTTCCAAACGGAGCGAAGTAGAGAATCCTGAGTTGGTTACATGTACATACGATAACAATTAAGGCGAGGCTACAAAACGGAACTGAAGTCAAAGGCGACAAAGAGAAATGCCTGCCAACTCAACATCATATGGAAACCAAACGAGTGGTCATGACATCTTCTGTGCGATTCGGCAATATGGATTGCAACAAAAGACATTCATCATTGCATTAATTGTTATCATTTCCATGACTGCTTTCATAGGTAACGTTTTAATAATTGTTGCGCTAAAAAGGGTATATTCCCTTCATCCACCGTCAAAAATTCTCTTCCGCTGCCTTGCAAGTACTGATCTTGGTGTTGGCCTTCTCGCAGGGCCGCTTTTCATTAGCTTTTTAATGTCTCAAGAGCACACTGGAACTTGCAAAAGTCTCAAAACCATTTTTTATTGTACCGCTGCATTACTCGGGGTATTATCGATGTTAACATTGACAGCAATAAGTGCGGACAGACTTCTAGCTCTGTTATTGAGGCTGCGATACCGACAGGAAGTGACTACGAGACGAGTACGGGTTGCAGTGGTCTTCTTCTGGCTTCTTAGCTCTGTTATTGCAACAACGGTTATTTACAACTCGTTCGTGACCAATATCAGCATTTTTATAACTGATCTTCTCTGTGTGGCCTTCTCGACGTTTTGTTACGTAAAAATATACTTCAACCTTCGCCAACATCAAATGCAGATACACATGCCAGAGCAAGGTCCGCAGGGCAAACCCTTCAACATTGCGCGATACAAAAAGACAGTGACGATGTTAGTGTGGGTACAAATAACACTGATAGCTTGTTATGTACCACATGCAATAGTCCAAGCTGTATATGCTTTCAGAGAATTAGCTTCGCCATTTTTCGACCTAATCTGGGATGTGACCTTAGCAATGGTTTTCTTTAACTCTGCAGTAAATCCTTTCCTTTACTGTTGGAAAGTCAGTGAAGTAAGACAAGCGGTGAAAGGAACAATCGCAGTGTTATTTTGCTGAGCTAGGTAAAGAACGTTCTGATAGATAGTGGAATCGAGGATCTTCGAACAAAAAGGACAAATATTCAATTAATTGAAAAGTAAACTTGTTTTACCATCTCGATCTCCTTAGATCTCTCCTCTAATGATCTGGTTTTTTTTATGTATTTTCTTTCTTTTATGCATTTGTTCACATAAAACACTATTTTAAAGGGGAATTGAAAAGTATTCTATAGAGTTATTTTATCTATCTTCTCGGTTGCTTCAATGATGTCGAAAACCAGTCTTAAGCTAATAAAAATCATGCTCACACCAAATGCAAGGATCTGTTTCGATTTCACTTTGGAACATGATATAAAACGCTTGAGCGCCTCCATTTCAGTCATTGCACTCAAAAAGGTTTTTTCTTTTCGTTTTTTAGCAACTAGCAATTAGTTTTGTTTTATCAGCTTGAGCCCAGCATAAACTTTCCCACTGAAGTTAGTGGTATTGAAACAATACAGGTCATATCTCTCAGATCAATAACATCCCATGCCTCTCTGAACAAAATTCTCACCTCATTCTTTTTTCTAAGAGGGTTTCAATGTGGAAGGTTCTCATTAAAAACAAAGACTAAAAGCAGATACATTTGAGCAAATTTCAGATGCCTCTAATAACGTTTCATCTTGCGTTTGCATGATTTGACTTCAGTGTTCATTATTTACCCGAGTCATCAAAACACGTTAGACCAAAAATTATCGGGAGGCTTTGTCAGATTTGAAATTCAATTTTGTAAAGTACAAAGTTCAATTTTTAATGAGTGTGTTTCTCGCCTCTAAGGAAAATATATTAAGATGACGAATAACACATCGCCGCCGGCAGAACGAAAGCTAAAAGGCGAGCCATGCCTGCGTACTTCACATTTAGCTTATGATCAATCTGAAGTCAGAGCACAGTGAAAACTGAGGACAAATTTCAACAAGCAATCATTCCTTATTTAGAAAGCGGAAGAATATATATACAGGAAGTCTGCGTTTTGATTTTTTGCGTGTGACAGTGCTCGATACATAAGTAGGGCGCAATATATGTCGAGTCAGAAAAATACAAAGGCTACCCTTGCATCCATACAAGCCTGTTTCGTGATTGCTCACTCATCAGGAGAATTTATTGATATGAATATTCGCAACCATTCCACAAGAAAAAATTGATTTTGCAGGAAATGGAGTTTGAAAGACATTTCCGAACCCATTGAAACATTTTGTGTACGTAAACGCTAGAAACCTGCCATTATGGATGAAGTAACAGGCTTGTGCAATTTTCACACCACCGGTGGATAACATCAAAATCAGATTAAAACCGTAGAAAGGGGAAATGGGTAAAAGGATTACGATGATGAACCATTAATATAGCACATTCTCCATATCAATATGCCTTAATTAATGCCCTTAACAAAACATAGCAGGAGACTTTGGCCAGATTTCATTGAGGAGTTTACAAGTTTTGAAAAGAAATTTTGCAGGTTCCGTAAGATATTGGACCTGACCACAACACAGGGAGCTACGGTCCTTACGTGGCATTCATCCCCCTTTTGACACAGTGGTAGAGGCCAGTGCTTCCTAACCAGTTGAAAAAGTTCAGGGGAAGCTCCATTAGGTCTTGAACGATCAAGATTTTAAATAAAAAAGACACTGGATCCCAAGCTTACGACGAATTTTTTGGCTTCAAAACGCGTGATTCGCTTGTTTATTGGATTATCACCATGGCTGTACCTCTGGCGAGGATTTTTGCGGGCACAGATGTTTATAAATCTGACAGATCTGGTTGTAAGTATGTTAAACTCGGTAATTTTCCTTAGAGTTTGATGATAGCCTTTAAAAAGTAATGTCTTGAATCCTACAACTATTGTAGACATAATTTTTTGTCACCTCCCAAAAGAAGTAAAAAGATGCAGTATCCGCAGCAGTGTAGGCAAATATAGCTTGGGGCTATCGCATGTGGCACATAACAAATGACCAGTGTTATCAGCACACAAACTACACCCATTACCGTCTTTTTGTTGCGTGCTATGTTTAAGGTTTCACCCTCATCAAATTGCCTCTGCACGAGTATCTGTGATTGATGCTCGCGAAGTCCCAAGTAAATTTTCAGGTAACAGAATGTCGAGGCTATCATGCATCGGAAAGCGGTTATATAAACGCTTCTCGTTGTAAAGAGTGGGTGATATATGAAAGTCGATGCAATCACAGCGCTAAGAAGCCAAAGCAAACTCAATGTAAACCGCACTCTTCTCGTTGTTACCAATTGCCGGTATCTCAGACCCAGTGAAAGAGAAAAGAGTCTGTCAACACCTATTGCTGTCAGTGTCAAAACCAGCCCTAAAGAAAATAATGCAGCTGTAGTGTAAAAAATAGTCTTCAGATAATAACGAGCTTCGGAGTGCTCCTGAGACGTTAAAAAGCTAACAAAGAGAGGCTGTGAAAGAAGACCAGTAGCAAGATCAGCACCCATAAGCCATCGGAGGAGAGTTTTCGATGGCGGATGAAGAGAATGTACTCTTCGAAGTGCAGCAATTATCAGCATGTTTCCCAATATTGTTGTCATGGACATGAGAATATTTAATGTCAAAATAAAAATCTTTTGCGGCAAGCCATAACTACGAGTC